TACATAAATCACACTCTTCTATCACATCGAACAATTGAAGGCCTCGTGCCTTAGTAGAAACGCAGCCAAAAGCTATGTGATGAGCATTAAAATCTCCTGCTACGAATATTGGTTTAGGTAGACCATTTATTATTTTTTTTAATTTAATCATTGGCTGACTGCCAGTAGGCGGACAATAAACACACAAAATAGACATGGTACCAGTATCGATGGAAAGCGATAAGGCAATTGTTTGAACATCTTCATAAAAATCTGTTTCTATTAAAGTATATTTAAAATAGGTTTTATCAGAATAGCTACACCGCCATGTTCATTCTTTGCATTTTTGTAAAATATATTATAACCAGGGATATTAAAGTGTTGATTGTTTTTAAGCCATGTTTCATTCAATAAACAAATATCAATATTATTTTCTGTCAAGAATTTAATAAGTAAAGGTTTTTTGTTTTTAACACTTTGAATGTTGTGAGGAGCGATTCTTAACTGTGAAATACGAGAAGATCTGGGATCCATTTATGGTAAATTTTTAAGAAGCATATCTTTGATTGTTGTTGTAGATATGGGAGAGTCATCAACCTTATTAGCCAATTCAATTAATGTACGAACAATTGCCATGGTTAAGTCATTATTTACAAGTAACTGTGCTTTAACATCAAAAGAAGCAGCTTTCGCTGGGGTGTGAGACTTATTTAAATTTAAAGATTTATTTACACTAGAGTTTCCTTTTTGTACATCTGGTTGGGGAGATTTTAGTTCAGGAAAATCTGATACATTTTGAGTATTTACAACAGTATTTACAACAGAGGAGTAAGTGATTTTGCTTTTCTTCTCTATAATTTTTTTCATTTTTATGGGACAGGCCCTTGAGATGGCCATATGAGGCCCACTGCAGTTAACACAGCAGAGCTCATTTGGCTTCTCACACTCTTTATAATGATGATCACCAGCACAACAGCTGCAGCGCTGTTTGCCACTGCAGATCTTGGCTGAGTGATTGAATTTAAAACATCTATAACACTGCTGCAGAGGAGGAATATAATCAAAAACTCTGTAAGAGAACAGGTCATATTGAACATTATCAGGAAGTGTATTTGATAGAAATGTAATGCTTACAGTTTGTAAAGGTACACGTTCCTGTCCTACTTTTTTTAAAAACCGTCTGATTGAAATTATTTCGTAGATCGACGATAGTTTTGAGTACAAGTCCTTGTTTGATATATTCGTTGGAACAAATCGTATGATACCGGTTTTTTCAATATGAGCAGCTGGAATGAATGCTCGCATGGAATTTTTCTCTAAGAATGTCTTATTGTTAATAAAGTTATTGGCCGTATTGAATTGTTTATCACAATCAAAAAATAAAATAAAAAATATCACCACAATCTTATTCGCATTTATTCGCCGAATTGCCACTACACCTTTGATTCCACTTGAAAAAATATGGTTCAGATATATCGGACTTTTGTTACCCAGTCTCTCGTTTGAAGTTGATTCAACGAACACTTTAAACTCAGTTGAATTCGAATTTTCCGGATATAACCGTTTATAGTCTGGACTATCAAAAAAGCAAAAAAAAAAAAAAAAGACAAGTATCGATTCCCAATAAACATAATGCCAATTGCTTCCTCAGTTTATGATATTACGGTTTCATACACCTAGTTTAAAAGCTAATATTTAATTTGTAGTTTCGAGTCAATGACAACAAAAGTTTATTTTCATAAATTATATTTCTTAAATTATTATTAAAGTATTATCATGCTATTATTAAATAATTACGATTGATTCATGTTTAAACAACTGGTTATTTTATTTAAAAAAATCGATTTAATGTATTTATTTGTGAAATGATGTTACCACTACAAAAAATCCCTAACGGAAAATTGAACGACTGATAAATAATAATTAATATATAAATAAAACAACTAATATTTCATGTTCATTTATCCGGCAAATGTGAGACGTCACATTAGGTTATAAAATCATCATAAATATAAACAAAAATTATCACTGTCACGAACTTGTGTCACAGTGACAGTGATATGGGCATTCCCCTTGAACACAATTTTCCAATCCCCATATAGTGCCGTCCATCGATTATATAGGGATATGAGCTATATGTATAAGGCCTTACTGAGTTGTTATATGAAAAATGGATACATAACAGCGACTTCTTTAGAAAATATTGATCCTAGCAGTGAAATAAATTTGCTTGATATTAATCAAATGTATTGGGGTGTAAAAGTAGCAAAATTAAATTTAAATATGGGTACGGATCATACACAAAGAATTCAGGAGTTTTTGAGAAGGTCGCGGTTATTTCTAATTGAGCTATGCATGCAATTGAAAAAGAGACTGCCAGTAGAACATCATTTGTTTAGGGAGTTAATATTTTTAGACCTCCAAATGGCAGCGTATGAGCAGTTTTCTAGTCTCGTATTAGTCTCGTCTCTAAATTAGTGTGTGACGAAATTACACAACAATTAATTGACGAAGAGTATCGTCAGTTAAAATATGACAATAACGTACAAAATTAACTCTCGTCGTCTAGTGTCACAGGATATTGATAAGTATAATAAATTGAATATAGTAATAATAAATTGAAATATGATAATACCTTCAAATTCGCAAAAGCGATGATGTGTTTGCCCGTATCGAACGCTTCTTGTGAGCGTATGTTTTCGCAAGTTAATTTAATTAAGACTAAACATCGTAATCGGTTTTTAAATACACACATATCATCGCTTTTGCACACAAAACAAGGGATAATTGATAGTGGAGAAAATTGTACAAACTTTGTACCTGATTCTAATATGATTAGATTAAGCAAAAATTGTAATAAAAATAAATATTCTCAATCTAATTAAAATAATAAATCATGTTTTATTTCAACCACAATTTTCAAATGCATCAAAATGTAGGTTGGTAGAATTTCGGTACATTTTTTTTACTTCAGTAGATTTCAGTAGATTTTTGTAGAAAAAGTTGCCGAATTTAGTAGATTTGTAATATTTCATAACGGTCACACTGGTATTAAGTACTGTTCATTGGTTTTCTGAAGTGGGCTGAAGTGAGAAAAGTGAATTTATAGGTTATTTTCTTTAGTTTTAGAAACAATCTCATATTGTGCTTTTGAAATAGTTCTGTGTGGTTTTGTTGGGAGAAAAATCGTTAATAAGGTTAGTGAATGTTAAGACCGGATAAACCCCCTGATAGGGGCGCACAATTCAATCCCTAACTTCTCCCCGTCTTAATGGTTGTTGCCTTAAACCCCTGCTGAAACAACTCCTCTTGCTACTCCTAATGAAAATCTTGTTCAGCACCTTCTTTGTTCGTTGATTACTTTGCTGTCTAATATGCCAGATGTCTTACCATACCGTAGATGTCGTTATTATATCCCTGGTTCTTTAACAGTGAGAATATTTCCACTGCTACAGAATTAAATTGGTATTTCGTGTTAATTTCAATTAATCATTCAATAATAGAATCTGTTATCTGTGTTGGTATTGTAATAACTAATTGAAAAAAAACATTATATCACATTTGTTATATTTATCTAGATACAAACAAACATTCATAGCTCTAATAATATCCTGCTTCTTCAAAGTTAACAATTGTTCTACTACTAATATAATTAATTAGTATTTGTAGTTGTTTTCAATCAGTCACAAAATAATGTAACAAAATATATTACACTAGTGACCCACTATTTGTTTGGGAAATATTGCTTGAATCAATTGACATGTTACCTGGATCAGTTTCTTCAAAAAACTGTCTGATTGTAAACATATTCGTAAGGTAGGAGTGGAATGTCCACTGAATCGTCTTCATCAATATTGTCTTCTCAATCACTATTTTCTAATATACTAAGTAAATCTTCATCACACATATATTTACATTGTGACATTTTTACAAAAAAACAAAAGATACAAAAACAAAAATGCACACAATAACCACACTTTTTTATGAAAATATTATTACATATAAAGTTTTTACTATTCCAAAAAAAGTATATGTTGCAGGAATCAGGGATGTTATGGATATAAAATTTCGGATAGGGATATGGATACGGATATGAAATAATTTTGGATTATCCGTTAATTTCGGTTACGTATATTAGATTTTTAAGGAATTTTAACAGTTAAATACAAATAGCTATTAAAATGGTTATATTTATTTGTCACCATTTGGTGGGAAGTATAAAGTCAGTCTGTGAATAATTATTACATCTATTTAAAATAAAATTGATAAATACTTAATGAATTTTGAGTTTTATTTACTTAAAAATGTAAATGTAATAACAAAATTATTTCTTATACTTAATCAGTAATTTAGTATTCGAAGAAATTATAAAAATTAGAAATAAATTTGGAACGCACATTGCACATATAAATTTAAGTACTTTCTTTTTTTTATTATTAGTTACTTAATGAACACCGACAGCTTTGTATGGGACTTTGGCCAAAGGGTGGAATTATGCGTAAAGCAGTTTGGATAGGTTTATAAAACTTTAAACAAAGGTCAGTAAAACTTTATGACAGCTGTCAGACACATTTCTCTCTTCCCCACGCAAGTAAAAGAAAAAAAAACCTAAGTGCAATTTAACTAGTGCACTTAAATGTAGATGCAGAGTCTGTGCACTACATACAATGCATAAAAATTAAGCCGAGGTGTCCGTGCATTATATATAGGGCATGCTGAAATTCAGTAAATAATGCATTTTCTAATAACTTGGAGACAATTACGTTATCTCATACTGCTATTTTCGTAGTCATTGTCTATTTCAACTAAAAACTTGAGTGGAGGTAGATTGGTACTTAACCAAATCAACTTGGACAGTTAACATGTTAAATTGGAGTGGTAAATCCATAGATTATAATGTATATACTAGAGATAGATGAGCAACTTCGCTTTTTTTGTTAATGTTTATTCGTACTAACAATCAGATGGCGCTGCTCAGCGTGCCGCCAAAATTTGAATTCTTATCTACTTTATATTTTTGTTTATTGAATGGAACTCGGTGATCTCGGTAAGCATACCGAGATCACCGAGTTCCAAGCGGCAGATTCACTATAATTATCTGCTATTTGAGTACCGAGGCAGGTTGAATTTCCATTTGTTAACACCAACATGAAACCAACTGAAATGTGTACTGAATCCATATACTACAACAAAATATTTTTGTTTTCTTTTTAATTCATTGGGATTCACAGTCAATAATAAAACATAAATATATTTATGAATATTTATTTGATTAAGTTACTAAAAGTAAATTACTTCTATAAACAGCTTATAAAATTCCTTGTTTTCACTTGATCCTGCTGAAATTCACAGTTCGAGAGATCTTAGAATAAGATTTTAAATTCCTGACTTTTGAATTTTTTGAAACTATTACTTGAATCAATATAAATTAGATTAATACATCAGAATATAATAATAACAAAACAAACAATGCAAGTTATAGTCAAAATTAAAATTACATATAATATGTAAAGTATCATTGAATGTTGTCCTCAAGATTTATTTTTTGAAACAATTAGAAATTTCGCTTAGTATTTTTAATAGTTTACTAAATAATTCAATTCTAGTATATTAATATTTAGGGGAATCTTACTGTAAATAAAATTTTGTGTGAAAACCTAAATTAATTTTTAGTATCATTCCTGTAAACATTAAAATTGTGTTGAAAACGCTACAAGCTTCCAAGTGGTACAGGTAATTTAATTATAGGTCTAAAAAACGGGGGAAGTGCGAGTCGGGCTCGCGTACGAAGTTTATCTAAAAATAATTAAATGGCATTTTTTTTTTAATACTTGTAATAGCGGCAATAGAATATACAGCATCTGTGAAATTTTCAACTGAATTACAAAGCGCTACTCTAAGAGGACCGCTGACGACCGCATTTGCACTTTGATTTCACTACTATAGTTAATCACTGATGCATCTACGACGTTCATTTACAGAATTTCAAGTTAAACAATTTTGTAAGAAGAAGTGAAATGATTGTTCATTAGGGTTAAGTTATAATTTAACTTTTAGTTAGTAAATTAATTTTAGTCATTTCGTTTTTTTTTTTCGATTTTTCCGCTGCCGCAAACGTTATTAATATCTAACTATCACAGTTCATTATTGGTACACAAAAAATGTTTCTAAATACTTACTTGTACAAAATCTTAGGGCACCAGAGACTCGTTGACTAAATACTTGTGCAGCATGTTTGACTTTCATTTTGGAATCTTGTCTGGCATCACATGAGCTTCAGTAAGTTTATTGCACATCCGCAATTCATCTTCACCATCATCTAGATCCAATTACATTTTTAAATGTTCCCACTTTGCAGTTTTAACTTTGCCGTCCTGAGTGAATCTCAATTCTTTTTTTTTTTAATTATTCCTGATACACTTTAATAAATGTGGGGCATCAAACAATGGGAATATTTTGTGACCATTTATTTTAAATGCGTTGTATTTGAATTCTTTATTTTCTCTTAAATATTCTCCTCTCGTTTCAGCAATGAGGTCGTGCACTACTTTTGTGTTTATAGTAGATTGGTCACATACTGTCGCCACAACTATCAATCCCGTTTGGAACAATTTGTCAATGACACTTTTTAAAATATTTTTTAAAATCACTGTCTTTGTGGCACTTCTACAAAAGCCATAAAATAAGGGCTGTTCATAATTTTTTTTTATGCCTTTGACCATAAGCACTAACACATGGTCAGCAATATTTTCTGTATGCACTGATCCCATATCTTCAAAACCAATTATTTGGTCTGACGGAACATCAAAGTGCATTGATGGTGAAATAGCCATTTCATCAAACATCAACACACACAAACGTTGTTCTGTCGTGAGCTTCTCAGTAGCATCTTTCATTTGATCAGAAATTACGGAATTAAGACCTGGTTTTAAAGATATTTTTTAAGGACATCTTGCAAAGTTCTTTTTGACGGCAAGGCAAAAAGTTTTCTGAGGAAATAATATCCTTTTGGACTCTTTTTATACATTGAAAGTGCCAACAATTTATCCTGAAGGGTTAAACCGTCTTCCACGGTTTTTCTTTTTATGCTGTGTCAACTGCATATTCAAAAATAATAGAGTGGGAACAGGCAAAGATTTCAGAATCTTATTAAATAACTTTGTTCTGGACAATTTTTGTGCTGCCTTGATTTGATTTCTTTGCTCCTTCAGTTTGTTTTTTAAATTAATAATTTTCTTCATCATAATTTTTATTCCTTTGGTCTGCTTTACTTTCCTGGCATTACCTAAAAAACAGCATAAACATTACAATAATTAATATTTTACTTACTAATTTCTTTTTCGCTCACTATGCTCTCATATGCAAATTCAATTATGAAATTGATATTAAAACATTGAACCTATTGTACGGAACACTATTCCATACATAGCTCAACCCGCATGGCTACAACTAGTGACAAAATTAGAACGGTGTAATTAAATTGGCTTTTTTATGTCGAATTAAATTTAAAACAATAAATTTTAAAATAATAAGTTTCAGATCTTTTTAATTTAAAAAAACCATACTCAATATTATATTAATCTGGAAGTAGCTATGTATGTCTGTCTGTTACGCTTTCGCAGCTAAGCCGTTGCACGGATTTCCAATGTTTGGTATGGAGATAATTTTATTCTTGAAAAAAGATATTGTCTACTTTTTATCGCGATTATCCACGTACACGCAGGCAGAGACACTGGGCAAATACACTAAAGTATAAACCGGTGTCAATATCTTACCAGTTTTGTTCATCAGGTCAAGATTAGAAACATGGGCTGAACATCCGGGTAAAGTTTGTGGCACTGAGTGAATATCCATAGATTCAGGTAGGGGTTGCGGTAACAGTTGAATTTCTATGGATACGTCTTGACTAGAAGAAGCAGATGAACCTGTAATATTAACATTATTATGTGAAACAAATATACAAGTGATCAGCGAACATTGCTTATGCGCTGAACCTATGTCACATTAAAGAATATGTGATGAAGTTATTAATTAGTAGGTAAATAGAATTAAAAAAAAATAAGTTAAGTGATAAAATAACATAATATTCATAAAAGTATCAATGAAAATTTCCAGAAAGAAAACTAAAAGGCGTAAAATGAACTTGTTGTAATGATTGTGTCAATTTTTATATAGACTAAATTTTCTAATAAATTAAATTAAGTAGTAATATAATGTGTGCTAGCTTCCTAAAATCAGCTTGAAGTCGGTGTCCACCAAAATAACTGTTAAAATTTATTATGTATTTTTACATATAAAATATGTTATCGATGTGGCAGGGGCAGACGTATGTTACTGAGATAAGTAAACAACCTGTACTGTTGTGTAAAAGTGGTGTAATTGCTTTCATGGCGGAATAAGGTAGAGTATGGTATAATGTTTTAGGTAGAAAGACTTACCCAATTTAAGAGTAGGATAAGCAGTCTTAGCTAGACGTTTACTATGTGGGTAACAGTAGAGTCCTTCAAAATGATGATTACATATACGATAATTTGTATATATATCATCATTGGTCTTGTCCTGCCACTTTGGTCCCACTATGTCTTTCCATTGCAGAAACCGTTCTAAAGATGTCTCTGGAACCGATGTAAAACATCTGAAATTAGATATAGTACAAGAATTAAATTACTGTTTTTTGAAATTTGAATTTTGAAATTTCGAAATATTACCTACAATTCAAAGTTTGTGTTAAAATTTACTAGTTTTTTAGTTAATTTAATTCTTAATTTTTAAAAGGTATGTTAAATAATCAGTCAAGGCTGTAAACGTTGTATTTTAAATGTACTTATTAGATAAAATTTAACACACTAATACAATGGCGACCGCGATGTTATTAACAAAATAGATACATACTCACATACTAGTGGTGAGACAGCGAATGCTATCGCTGCGAAATATCACCATGCTAATTATGTAAACTGTGATCGCAGTTGCTATTGTTCTGCCTGCCCATCTGTAATACATACCGAATTGTTGACAGCCGAAAACACATTGCGATCTTCGCGGCATCTTTACAACACAAATCTATTCACAGGAGAAAATCGGGTGTCTGTAAAGTCGGTTTACTGACGATAGTTGAACATGACAACGTCATAAGAAAATACTGATGGAATGGTTGCATTTTTCAAAAATGTATTATTGTATACGAGTAGCAGCTGTCCACGCGGACGCATCGCTCACTCAAGTAGGAGAGAGACAGATGTCGAACGCCGAACGCGGAGGCCGATTGTGCCTCTTTGTCACTCGTTCCGCGCTCTCGCTTGCACTTCACGCCTTAAATGGAACGCCTCAGAGCGAGGTAACGCCGCATGAGTCATGTTTTTTCGTGCGTGCAGCCGGCTCCATCGAATTACAACACGTTGTCACGTCAAAAATAAAACCGTTTTCAATAGCCGTGGTTAATCGTAAGTTTTATTATCAGGGTCCAAATTCAATAGCCGTTGTAAATCGTTAATGCAAGATATCAATCCGGGTTGTAAGCTGTTGTTATCGTGTGGTAGAAGATATTGGAAGGTCCGTAATACAAGCAGGGTCTCAAAAGTTTAAACAAAATAACAAATTACACTCACTCTACAACGAAAACTTTATGAAAAACTTTCAAATCTTGTCGAACCAAATGATGACGTTAGTAATTCCAATGTTGCCTGTAAATAATTAAAATTATGGGTCAATAAGTTTATGTATTATTTTGTAAATTTAAATTAATTAATAATACATAATCCATAAATACGTTTCTAGTTTTTATTTTGATAGTATGTTTTCAATTTATTGCGATTTTCTTACATCTGATTTTCTTTGCTGTACTAGCCTCTAGATGGCGCTACAATAAACTAAACTATTAAATAAATTTTTTCTTTTAAGTCGCACGCCCATGGGTAAATCCAATAGTATCAGAAGAATTCAGGGAATCAATACATCTTCTCAGGTACCACATCCGGTGAGTATTGTGCCCTCTATTATGAAAGTTTTTAGTGATTTTACCAGCAAACGCCATTGCAAAGTTTAGTTGGATTCTTAATAATATAACTGGACAACCTTCTGTAGGAAAATGAACAGCTTCTTCCAAATCGAGAACTGTATCGACCGAGTAGTATATTTGCATTGGCGCATCAATCTTTGTCAGAATCAAGTTACCTCATCTATTTGTTTGTTAGTTGGTGACAGAATCCCTCTTTCTTTAAACCAAAATATAGTCTCACAACTTATGTTGTCAATGTCGGGATAGACATTGTTGACCAACTCTTGGATGTTGTCTACAAACAACCCGCCTGTCTATAAACAACAGGCCCGGGGGGCTAACTTCCAGGAGGCGGCGCGCCTGGCCGCCACGGGAGTTTCCCTGGTGGTCGGGCGCATTGAGGCGTTGGGTTTGCGGGTGGCCCTGGATAAGACGGAGGCCCTATTATTTCATGGGCCCCGTCGTGGTCCACCCGCCGGCGCCTCAATCGAGGTCGGCTCGGTCCTCGTACCGGTCCGGGCCCAGATGAGGTATCTCACTTTCTACAGCTTGGTCCGAAGCTGGTGGACACTGCCTCCGCCCTAGGGCGACTTTTGCCCAATTTGGGCGGGGCCAGTGTTCCCACGAGGCAGCTGTACGCGGGGGTTGTCCGGTCCATGGCGGTTTATGGTGCACTGGTGTGGGTGGCGGCTCTGACCACCCCGAATAGGGCGCGCCTCTGGCGCCCCCAGAGGATATTGGCGGTCAGAGCCATACGCGGATACCGCACGGTGTCCACCGAGGCGGCTTGCGCCTTGGCCGGAACACCCCCGTGGGATTTGGAGGCGGAAGTGCTCGCCGAAGTTTATCGGCGAGTGGCTGACTTCCGGGCGAAGAACGGATTTCGCCCTCCGCCCGAAGACGTGCGCGAGTGGCGCGAAGCCGCTCGCCGAGCCACCATGGTCAGATGGTCGTTCCGGCTGGAGACTCCACGCGCTGGCTTCGCCGCCGTGGAGGCTCTCCGGCCGGTCATCGCCGAGTGGGCAGGGCGGCAGCACGGGACCCTTTCCTTCCGGCTGACGCAGGTGCTTTCCGGGCACGGTTGCTTCGGAAAGTACCTGTACTCGGTCGCTAGGAGGGAATCGAGTCCCGCCTGCCACCACTGCGACTGCAGTGAGGATTCGGCCCAGCACACGCTGGCGGTTTGCCCCGCATGGGCGATGCAGCGCCGGGCCCTCACTGCAGTCATCGGAGCAGATCTCTCGCTACCGGCCGTAATTCGCTCCATGGCCGGTAGCGACAGTTGTTTTACCGCGGTCGCAACCTTCTGCGAGGAGGTAATCTCGCAGAAGGAGGCGGCGGAGAAGGCCCGGGAGGACGACCTCCACTCGGACCTGATCCGCCGCCGGCGAACCGGGCGGCGGAGGCGCGCTTACCTGCGCCTCATGCCGCCCTGAGTGTGGCCGCGGGTGGACGGGATGGGTTCTCCCCTCCGACCGCATTAGTTGGCCAGCCGCGAGGGGGCGGCGTCCGCGTGTGCCGGACGTCGCCTAAAGAGAGGGTCCACTGAGACGGAGCCCGCATCAGGAGCGGGCCGGCGCTGGGAGGGGTCCAGAAGGCGATAACTACCTGGACCCCTCCTAAACTGGAAGCGCAAAGAGGGCACACCGTGTGGTTTTAGTCGGTTCGAGTTCGACACACCGCCCCGCCGAACGAGAGCCCCGGCGGGGTGACGGTCCGAGGGGATTTCCACACGTAAAAAAAAAGTTTTTAAAAAATTCACTTCGAAATAATTTATATGACATTTAGAAAATCCCATTCACTGCTTCAACCACCCATCTGCAAATAGTCACTGTTCGTCATTTATTTGCTGCTGCTGTCGATAACTGTGTTTGACCTTGTTGCAGACACAGAGACACATGTACACTGTATTGACAGTCTACTAATAAGGAACCACAATCTCTGAAACCCCTATCCAGAATAAAAACATCGCCAGGTTGAAAATACCTTCTTAAAGCAGTGGTATTATTTTTAAATTTATTAGACAATAAATTTGCATCCAATGTTGTTGCTGGATATGGACTTAATACGTCTATAATATAACCATCTGAACATACCATAAAAAACGGCTTCATCAGGTTTCTATACTTGTGCAAAGAATAAGTATCTTTCTGGTACTTATAGTTGGAACTCTTCTGTATGTATAAATAGGTACCGTCCATTATATTTATGGCTATCCTTTCTTCACCTCCAAAGAGCCCATTGGGTATAATCAGATTTCTCTCTGATATTTGGTCACGAGTTATGTGAGTGATTCCTAGATTCCTAGGCACAAAGTCACAGAGTAGTACTTCACGCACTATATTTATGTAGGTGCCCAAAGTGGTCCGGGGTACACTTAACAACATAGAGTCGCTCGTTAGAGTCACCAGTTCTTATTTAAATGAGACATGCTGCAAGAGCTAAAGTGCTATTTGGCACCCTGTTTACATTAGGTACATCTGCTATTATTAGCATAAACTGGTCCTTAGTTACTGCAGTCCATTAATAAATTATGTCATCAGTCATTTGCTCCATTTTACTAAAATCTAAATGTTATTTCCTTTCTTTGACAAAGGAAGCAAAGTCTTGTATGTGACAGCGGTAAAATAATGAAGGGACTGACTATCATCTTCAATTATATGCAAATTGTCATTTCGTAAATGGAATTGGCAAATTCGACATTGCTGTGGTATATAATAATTATACTCTGTAAATATATGTACTCTCAGCCACTTGGGAATCCTCAATCTTTCTTCAGAGTTACAGCCAGGGAAAAACCATTGTGATTGGGTATCAGCCGCACTTCTCAAATCCGGTAAATGGATGGTTCCTTCTGGATTCTGTATTTCACCTTCACCTTCACTAACTCTCTCCACATTTCGAGTAACTTGCCTATTAGCTCTTTGCCAACAAGGATGACAAATTCTGTCAGATGCTCTCAACTAAAACGAAAATAAAATGGTATTGGATTTTTTTCTTAACTTATAGAATGCAATATAATCCTTACTGCATGTCAACTTGTCTTATTTTTGTATAGGTACTCATTTTAATTGAACTACATACACACTAGCTATTTGCATATCTCACAGTATTATGGGGAGTTCATAGGTTCACAGACCTTTACTTTTAAAGAGAACTACTGCAGGCTACTGTATTGCAAGAAGTAGTATAATTATGTTACACTTACACTTCATTTATTACTAAACTACCATTTTAAACATAATTATCTGTTTTTAAACTTTCGCGTTCCATGATAATTAATATTATTTAACGGGAATTAACGCGATCTCTTATTTAGGGTATTACATACCTCTGGTTTGCCTGACGAGTCAGCCTGTGACCACGGCCGGTGCAACCTGGTCGAAACGTCAGGCAAACCAGAGGTATGTAATACCCTAAATAAGAGATCGCGTTAATTCCCTTTAAATAATATTAATAATTATCTGTTATGAGAAATAAGAAAACTTACTTCGAGTGGATCAGTCCAATGTACAATAACATTTCTTACGCGTCTCTCCCTCTATGTCCTATTATTATATTATGACGACCGGATGGCGTAGTGGTTTGTGTAACGGACTGCTATTCCAAAGGTCGCGGGTTCGATTCCCGCTGAAGTCAAACATTTGTGTGCATGAACATTTAGTGTTTGATTTGGTCTGGTGGTTTCTATGTATAATATGTATGTATTTACAAAAAAAAGTATATATGTATTTATTTCAGTTGTCTAGTACCCATAGTACAAGCTCTGCTTAGTTTGGGACCAGATGGCGTTGTGTGAATGTAGTAAAATATATTATATATTATATTGTGAGTGTTGAGCTCAACATCTCGACTTTTGTCGGTTTTATAAATACCCCGTCCCGTAACACACGGGAAAAAAGATATCTATGTCCCCAATAACTTCAAATTGATAAAGTTGGATATGAAAAATGAGAATTATTTACTGTAATTTAATTTTTAATGTGTAGTTTCATTGTATGAGAGGAACCTAACTAGTGTGTGTCTGTCGTGTGGTGCGTGTTATTTGCGG